GGGGGGGGAGGAGAAAAGGAAGAAATTGAAAGAGGTGTTAAGGCCTTAGAGAGAAATTCACTAGCTTTGTCGATTGTATGGTATCCCCCCCACACATACACACACACATTGAGTCATATTTCAGCTGATTATATTTGTTGTTCAGAAACATGAACTTCATTTCAAGCCCAGATAGCTTTAGAAGTTACTATGCTATGTTGCACCACCACAACCCTGCCTCAGACGACCTGTGGCACGCTAGGTCTTTTTAAACTTTCATTTCAAACAGGAATATGGCAGGAAAATTAAGGAAGTAATGACCCCCCATATTAACTGTTTACTAATAGTATAGATGCACAAACATGGTTTTGGAGGGGACGGCGGTGGGGTGGGGGAACCAGAGAAGGAAAAGGGGGGAACAGTGTGGTAAAGTACACTTACATTATTTAAAGGGAGGGAGTTTCATACTTAAGCTCAAGGTCTAGTATAGTATAGTATAAGGTTTTACGGCGCTCGCAACTGCTAAGGTCATATGAGCGCCTCAAGGTCTAATGGAGACCCTTAAAAACTTCTGAAACATTCAAAATTCTGTCATGGAAGACTCAAAACAGGTTCACCTGCATCACAGTCTACTATGACACCAATTGAACTAAGGTCACACCAACAGGAAGAGTAGGAGGAGGAAGAAGAAGAGGAGAAGCAGGAGGAGGAAACGGAGGAGGAGGAGGAGGAGGAGCATACAGATGAGGATAAGACATCGACTGAGGGTGAGTGAAATTTCTTTTCTTTCTATAATTTTGTTGTCTGTCATGGAAGACTCAAAACAGGTTCACCTGCATCACAGTCCACTATGACACCAATTGAACTAAGGTCACAGTAAACAGGAGGAGGAGGAGGAGGAGGAGGAGGAGGAAGAGGAGGAGGAGGAGGAGAAGGAGGAGGGAAAGAATTAGCGAGAAATTGGCCGCCAAAGTTCTGTTACTTCCAAAGCTTGAGAGCCCCAGCAAACTACAAATTTACAATGTTGTGTGCCTTTAATCAACGTTTTTCAATAAAAATCCACACTTGTTTTTAAATGGACGTAAAAACTGTTGAGCAAAACGAAAGAACCATTTTGAAAGAAAGAAAAAAAAGAAAGGGAAATTGATGTTTTTTAATTGCCCAACTGGTGAACAACATGATTTTTTGGTTGTTTGTTATTTTGTTATTGCAGTATTTTGACGAGCGCCTGATTTCCCCACGATGCCACACATACAGATCATAGCTTCCTCCTGGCTTCTGATAATGGACGATGGGTG